GTAAATTGATAAATAAAATGTTCACGTATTACAACGTGCGTACTGTTGTACGTTTGTTTTTTCTACATTGGCTAGAGGTATAGGGGGAGGGTTGAGATTTCAAAAAACATGTTTAACCCCGCGGCATTTTTGCGCCTGTCCCAAGTCAGGAGCCTCTGGCCTTTGTTAGTCTTGTATCATTTTTAATTTTAGTTTCTTGTGTATAATTTGGAGTTTAGTTTGACGTCCATTTTCACTGAACTAGTATACATATTTGTTTAGGGGCCAGCTGAAGGACACCTCCGGGTGCGGGAGTTTCTCGCTGCATTGAAGACCCATTGGTGGCCTTCGGTTGTTGTCTGCTCTATGGTCGGGTTGTTGTCTCTTTGACACATTCCCCATTTCCATTCTCAATTTTATTACGAGATAAAGGAAAAAGTGGGAGACTTGATAAAAAAAAACAGATGAATAATTGGAGTTGAGGGGTAAACATCAATGGAACAGTCACAAAACATCATTATAAATAAAACAATGAAAACGACACTCCAGAGATTATTAGTACCACTGGGCTGATGCCTCCTCTGATGGACTGTTAGCATACATGGGTATCACCAACCAGTGGCCAGTACTTTGGTACTGGCATGAAAATACGGATATTATTTTATTGAAATGTGTTGTTATAAAATTTTAAATATAATTTTTAACAAAACATATACCATATCTATAGCTATCATGATTACGCTATTTCGTGAAGAGATTAACAAATATCTGATGCATTTGTGACTGTGGTTTTAATAGCATCTTTGGAAATAAGATAGCCGTCTGATTAGTTTCTGATACTTATGATTCGATCAATAACCTTGTCATATGTTTGTTCTCACTTTATCAACTAGTTATTTATTCCAGTGGCTCATCCCTAACATTGATTAAATTGCAAGTGTCTCCCCTCCCCTCCCCACGTCCGAGAAAAATGATAATAAATAACGCATCAAATAGAAATAAGAAGATGTGGGATGAGTGCCAATGAGACAACTCTCCATCCAAGTCACAATGTGTAAAAAGTAAACAATTATAGGTCAAAGTACGGCCTTCTACACGGAGCCTTGGCTCACATGTACACCGAACAGCAAGCTAAAGGGCCCCAAAACGACTAGTGTAAAAACAATCCAAACAGGAAAACAAACGGTCTAACCTATATAAAAAACGAGAAACACTTAAGAACCACATCAACAAACGACAACCACTAAAACAGGCTCCTGACTTAGGACAGGTGCAAATAAATGCAGCGGGTTTAAACGTTTTAAAAGGCGTCAAACTTCACCCTAACCTAAAATAGTAGTGTAACATTACAACATAGAAAGACACACTATAGAATATCAATTTAAATGGCTTAACTCAAAAAGACATATTAACAAAAACAAGTAAACATACACTAAACGAATAAATTTAATCTATGACACAATGTCAAAAAGACAAGGGCTAGGATGAAATTTGAAAAAAATAGGCAGGACAGGAGTTTTGAGTAAAAAAAAAGGCAGGATGAGATTATTTGCAAAAAAAAAAAAAAGGCAGGATGACAATTTAGTTAAATAAAAAAGTCAAGATAAACTAAAAAAAAGGCAGGACCTTATAGAGTAAAAAATAAAAAGGCAGGACAAATATTTTCATCCTAGCCCCCCATAAAAATCAAATGGTAGCTCCCTTAAAGTAATGAGGATGGCAGTCAACGTATGTACAGCTAATCTGCGTTTAGTGCAATTCATTTAACTTGACACACACGTGAAAAAATAATTTGAAACACATGTTAAAAATATCTTTTATCAGGACAAATAAAAATCGAAGAAGCTCATTTCATGGTATAATTGTAGACTAAATTTAATCACTTACTATTAGATTTTAGGAGAGATTGAGAAAACTCTGCAATGAATTCTTTTTATATTAAATGCCATCTAATATAAATCCTCAATACTTTTATGAATAACTCTTTGAAGTCAGGCAAACTTTAATGATTTTAATATCGTGTTTTTATACTGTAAGGGAACGAGCATTTAAACTTAAGAGCCACAGGTGGTTTTCTTTTTCATTTTGAGATTCTTTTCCATACCTAGCAAACATTTCTTAAAATTCATTTTTTAAGAACTTAATATCAAATTTAGTGACTGAAACTTTTAAAAAGAATAATTATTTCTTCAAAGTTTGGAATCAATATATACATGTACTTTTTTTAAAGAAATAAACAATACCCCTCTCTTTCAGAGTTAAATAGTCGTTCCCTAACAATATATAGGTTACGATTTTTTTTGCAGAGGATACATACAATGTAGTAACATGGCAGAAATTCAGAACAGAACATAAACATTTAAACGTGTTTTAATCTGTAAATAAAGAAGTGTTAATCCCTAGAATACAAGACACGATAATTTGACAATAGTATTATCACTAAAGCACTAATCCTGTAACAACTAATCTATTTGAGCGTGGACTACTTGCGAAACAGTATTTTGGTCATCTTTTCGTTATTTTTTTTCCTATGATTTGGTTCCTATTTAAATCTATTGAGCAGTTCTTGGGTCCCTTTTGGTCATTTATCTCCTCATACATCCTTTTTGCGCCTGTCCCAAATCAGGAGCCTCTGACCTTTGATAGTCTTGTATGTTTTTTTAATTTTAGTTCATGTATATGTTTTGGAGTTTAGTGTGATGTCTATTTTCACTGAACTAGCACACAATTTTATTTAGGGGCCAGCTGAGGACCACCTCCGGGTGGGGATTTTTTCGCTGCATTGAAGATCCATTGGTGGCCTTCGGCTGTTGTCTGTTGTTTTGTCGGGTTGTTGTCTCTTTGACATATTCCCCATTACCATTCTCAAATTTATTGGCTTTCAATCTATTTTTAGGTTTGACCGTTCATGAAAAAGGTTTACCAAGTAAAGTGCTTCGGACCGTGACACAATTGTATAAAGTATTATTTTCATTACCCTTTCAATATAGGTAATACACAAATACAATATCGATTGCATGGTCCACGTTTTAGGCCCATTTAGTTAATATCTAAAAAAATATCATAATTTTGGTCTCAAAAATGTTCTAGATCGTACTGTGAATTCATTTATTTTCGTTGGTACCAATTTTCGTGGACTGAGGAAGACTTGCTTTTTCGTGGATATTTGATTTCGTGATTTTGTCAAAGTCTGCATACACACTTATAGAGAATTTGTTATTCGTTGAACATCTAAATTTGTGGTTCACTTGTACCCACGAAATCAACGAAAATTGGTATCCCAGGAATAATGATGATGAAGGAAAGTTATTCCTGAACCACGTGTCGTAAGTACTGGACTGTAACCGAATATTCAGGGGCCATGGTGGCCGAGTGGTCTTAGTAGTTCATATATTTAAAGTAACAGACAACCATTCAGAAATATTCTATTGATTCTAAACTATACTTGTTAATATGTAACAGAATTAACATATATTTAAAATTTTGTTGAATTGCTTTTGAAATTGTTGTTTGTGACACCAGGTACTGTTTGGTGAATTTTTATTGTTCTTATTTTAATAAAATTTTATCAAGACGAAAAAAGTAGTTCATATCAGAGACATATAATATTATATGTCTCTGTTTATATAAAGTGATCACTAATCTGTCATTTCTGAAGATGTGAGTTCGAACCCCGCTCGTGACACGGTGTGTTTGTCTCCTGTCTTAATTGCAAGAATTACTAGTTTTCGCAAATGATATATGTTATCTACAATAATAACTGGCCGCCATGATATTGCCAACATCGCTGAAAGTGGCGTTATATGTTATCTACGGATACGCCGTCTTCCTCCGCCAATAATAACTGGCCGTCATGATATTGCCAACATCGCTGAAAATGGCGTTATATGTTATCTACGGATACGCCGTCTTCCTCCGCCATTTATAACTGACCGCCATGATATTGCCAACATCGCTGAAAGTTGCGTTAAACACTAACAAACACACAAATCGTTCGTTGTTGTTTGTAGATTTTTCCAGCTTCAAGAGGTTATTACATATATATACTATTTTACTACGATGAAATGAGTCCAGCAATATTTCTAGCATACACTGTAAAATTCGTGCTTGGAAAATAAATAACACTTGTACTACATGTTTAGTTCTAAACGTGTTTAGCATTGTGTTTAATATCTAAACACATTTCTCAGTAAGCACGTCAAATGTACACATGTCTTGAATTTAAACACTTTTAAATGTGTTTTAGCGTTAATGTGTTTAGAAATAAAACACTAATTTCTAAGGTGAACACGGTCATACATGTAAATACAATCCTACACACATTGTCAATCTAAACATGTTTAGAATTGAGACATATTTAGACAAAAACGTGGTAAAAAAAAGTGCACAAGGGATGTGTTTAGAATTGTGTTTAAGATTTAAAACAAAGCGAATTTCCCCTACAAATAGAATATTTTTTAATCTTGACTGGACTGATTTAGTTTTCAAAAAGTGAGAAATACATGCATTCTTGCAAAATCATTTTTAATGCCATTCATATTAAAACATGTGGAAAAGCAAGAAGAATTGCGAAATATTGAGAAAAAGTTGACAACTTGAGAATCAAACATACTTAAACATTTTTATGCACCTGTCCTAAGTCAGGAGCCTGTTTTCAGTGGTTGTCGTTTGTTTTTGTGGTTCATAGGTGTTTCTCGTTTCTAGTTTTTATATAGATTAAACCGTTGGTTTTCCTGTTTGAATTGTTTTACCATAGTCATTTTGGGGCCCTTTATAGCTTGCTGTTCGGTTTGATGAGCCAAGGCTCGGTGTTGAAGGCCGTACTTTGACCTATAATTGTTAACTTTTTATACATTGTGATTTGGATGGAGCGTTGTCTCATTGGCACTCATACCACATCTTATAATTTATATTAAAAGATAAGAAAAACTTTCGCCTGTATGGCAACTTCAGTCATCATCTATCTAATATGCAAAACAAGTTGGTTTTTTTTAAAGTGCGTGTTACTTTCTTACAGATTATAAAGAATGCTCAAGCATTGATGATTGTTTATCGGAACAAACGTGTCATGCAGATAAAGATCTGAATAAGAATGTGTGTTACTGTATTAATGAAGCTACTAAGGCTGATAGAGATGGAAAATGTACTACGGGTAAGTCCCTCGGCAATTTACAGAGATTAACATTTGATATGGGTAAGTGCCTTGGGAATTTCTAGGGATTCAAATGCACATGTTATACGGGTAATTGTCTCTGGAATGTGTAGGGATATACATGCACATGTAATACGGGTAAGTGTCACGGGAATTTACAAAGATTCAAATGTAATACAGGTAAATCAAAATTTCCAGGATGAACACGTGATACGTGTAAGCATCTCGATAATTTACAGGAACTCAAATGTAAAACTGGTAAGTGTCTCTGAAATTTTCCAGGATGAACATGTAATACGGGTAATTGTCGTAATAATTTACCAGGATTCGAATGTAATACGGGTTTATTTAAGTGGCTCCAGAATTTAAAAGGATTAAAATGTAATACGGGAAAGTGTCTCAAATTTTATTTCCGTATTAAATACAACAGCTATGACTGCACGTGTTATCTGTGACAATGTTACAAGAATGCATAGAAAATAAACGAAAAGCGAGATATTGTTCTTAAGTTTATAATTGTAGCATTAAGAATTATATGCTTCTTTTTATAATTTTATATGGTTGTAAAAGCGTTGATCGTGAGCACATTTTTAAATGAAGCTCTTTCGCGCTTCATACAAAAGGTGCTTCGGTCAACGATTTTACACTACTATAACACTATAAAAAGAAGCATTCAATTCTCTAGTATTTTTTTTTTTATTACAACGTTACCACTTACCAAAAAATTGTGATCAGGTTAATCCTACCCTAATTTTCAAAAAACTCAAACTATACGATACTCTCAATGGAACTTTCGCTTACTCATTCAAGAACCCTTTTAGAATGAAATTTATGATCATTTTCGTCAACGAACAAAACAAAGGCAGTTGTCTTTGAAAAAAAATACCTCTTTACTTTAATATAACATTAAAAGGATATAGGTATTTTTTTTCAGAGAAAAACTGCCTGTGGAATAAGAGTATCGATAAGCCGTATGGCATGTGTGAAATATCAAACAATTGTTTTCGCTGAATTTGCAATATAGCAAACCCTATATATAGTGTGTATTATTAGTTTGCGATTTCAAACTAGTCTCGGCAATCTCCTTGAAGATAGTGAGACGGTCATAAGACCCATTGATAATATCTTGCAAGCAATATCCCGACACAACATGTAATTATCAATCCATTATCTGTCTGTAAACATTATCTGAGGTTGTTTTACACTTTTGACATTCTAATACCGTTAATCGATTAGTGGGAATCATAAATACAATGCCGGTGGCATAGGTTTATTCAATATACGCGGAGTAACAGTTGGCGGTTTTATTGGTCGTTCTTCCAGGGTTTATTAAATGTACATTGGGTGACTAATAGTCTATGACCACAGAAAAAGCATATTAACTATATCTATTTTGTAGAATTTCGATCGCGCATACTTGGCTATATGAATTTGTTTTATCTTCAGTGATGTCCTTAAAAGCAAGATGATAGTTGCGCAAACGCGTTAGAACTTATAGATGAATTGAAATTTATCAGAACGTGTTAGATGTAAGAATGTCATATATCACTTCCTGTTCAGTATTCAAATAATTAAGATCTGTATCACTGAAGTGATCTAGCTGGTTTTTGACAAGGCAATTGTGGCGGAATGAAGTTAGATTTTAAGAATTTGTCATTCAAATGAATAAAAAATGAAAATGTACAAGGAACAGGAACAGTTCACTTTAAACCCGGGATAATAAACAACAAAAACACACTTTGTCATTAACCACGTATAACCACCGCTCGTAACCGCATTAACCACCACTCGTAACCACAACCACGCCCTCTTTCCCCCGAATGTGACCTATCGAATAAGACTTATCACCGGGTTAATACTCACATGAGCAACACGACGAGTACCACATGTGGAGCAGGAGCTGCTTACCCTCTCAGAGCACCTGGGATCACTCCAGGTTTTTGAAAGGGTTCGTGTTGCTCAGTCTTTAGTTTTCTATGCTGTGTTTTATATGCTGTTGTTTGTCTTTCGGTCTTTTTCCTTTTTTGTCATGGCGTTGTCAGTTTATTTTCGACATATGAGTTTGAATGTCCCTTTGGTATCTTTGGTAGTGTGTTGCTGTGATGCTGTGTCATTGGTGTATACCTGACATCCTTTTAAAAATGTTCTACATGAGGGTCTGAATGGAGCTTACAGAATAGAGAATAATAGGCAAAAGGTGCAGAATAAAGGGCCAAAAAAATTTAAGAAAAATAGAGATAAAAATTAAGAATAGAGAATAGAGAACAAAGGGGTGCTAAAATATGAAGAATAGAGAATAATGGGCAAAACAAATGAAGAATAGAGAAAAATGGCATAAAAATAAAGATAACAGAAACGAAGGAATCCCCCCTTTTCCATACCACGACTGCCGCTACCATTCCAGACTCTTCTCCATGATTCTTTGAAATCAATCGAAAATATTGCGTCCGTAGTATATCCATTTGAAACAAAGATTAAATGCACGGATAAGTCAAGCAACAAATTTTTCAACCTTTTTTTTCTACAACATCCTGTATATAGTATAAATCATAAGTTAATTGCCAGTTTCGTAAAATAACTTCCATCCACGCCCAACACTGAAAAAAATCAAAAAGGCAAAGCGAAAATTCCGATAAACAGAAAATATAATTTGATGTCTTCAAAACAGAATTCAACCAATGAGTACAATCTTAACATCCACTTCATAATGGCAAGTCAACACGTCATAATATCCTTAAATTCTACTCTTTAAACTTTAATTTCTGACCTTTGTAATATCAGGTGCAGAAATCAGACGCCATTTTGTTTAATTTCCTGTAAAGAAGTGGTGACCGTGTCCATAATTCTGTAATTCCAGGTGAAGACCTTGGACGCCATTTTGTTTAATTTCCTGTAAAGAAGTGGTGTCCTTAATCCTGTAATTCCAGGTGAAGACCTCGAACGCCATTTTGTTTAATTTCCTGTAAAGAAGTAGTATTTGTTAGTCAAATTATTTGAGTAATTTACAACTTGTTGATTATTGGTCAGAACACCATAAACGCACGCGACATTGCTTAGATCATTAGTATTACGGAGAGTTTCATACTGTTTTGTCGGTATTTCTCAGAAAAATAACGGAACTAAACAATTATAGTTTTAGAGGATTATTTTGAGAAAATTGGGAATTTCTGTTATTTAGTTAAAGTTTTGTATTTTGGCAATACAATAGCCAAATTTGTTATACTTTAAAGCTCTGTCAAATGTGCAGATGGAAAACACTCAACTACATGTCGGCAGTATTGTTTCATTTTAAAACTTACTTGATTCTTTTTCCTTAGTAAAATAGTTTGAGGGACAAATTTCAATCCTTTATTTTGTATAAAAAATTGAATATCTCAGGACATCACGTCATCATGAGAACGAAATGTTAACAAACACACAATCGTATTTGATCAGTTGATTAATTTAATTGCTTTGTTCATAGTTACATGTATTTTGCCTTAACCTTTTGTAAAGAGGCTCATTGGAAAATCTGTTAAATGTAGATCCCATATCCGCACTTCGTTTACAGGAATCTGACACCACTCTGTTTTATGGGATAACACGAACTGTGGGCCCCGGACTCAATCCTAATTTTAGTGTTGGACTCCAGGCTCCATGCTATGGGCTCTGAGTTCCATTAAACAATGTTTTGGGCTCGGGCTCAATGTTATGTCCTTGTTGTTTCCTCACATTTTCTGTTTTAAAACATTTTCGAGATCCTTGGATCTTGTCGTAAATACTTATGATAGACATCTTCAAAACATTGGAGACACAGATCATTGGTTGACGTAATAATTGTCAGAATAGAAAAATATTTGAGAACCGAGCATTATCAGGTCCTTGTAGGCAAAGCACGAATCTGTATTTACACACAAAGTTTCTCCGAAAGCGACAGTGTTCCATTTTTTTCCAATTTGCATTTTCAATAAAAAATATGACAAAGTGCTAGGATGTTGATTAATGGTTTTTCAACATTTCAATATTTACTAACTTATAGTACATATTTAAGGAATGACTATATATTTTTTCTGTCTATGAAGAAATAACATAAAAAATGTGGTGCACACTGTATAACCCGCGTAGCGGATTATTCATAAGTGTGCACCACATTTTTTAGGTTATTTCGAATAGACAGAAAACATATTACAGTCATTCCTTATAATTTAATTCTAAATCCCATTTTTAAGGAGTAAATTTTGAAAAAAACGTTGTTGACTTCACGGTCACATGACCAAATTATGTCTATGAGCTGATAGACAAAACACTTTCAGCCAATCAGAAAACGTGTTACATCCAAAATTAAATTATAAAGTTATAAAGAAAAACAAATAAACGATTTGGGCATGTCTTTCTGCGTTATTTAACCTCATTGGTCAACGCGTTAGTGATGTAGCTCGGTGTTTCGGTCAAGTAGAAAACTAAATTTATCATAGATACCAGGACTGAAATTTTGTAAGCCAGAATATTTGCCACCGGACGTCAATTAGCAATGTGTCAACCAATCTTAGTATCAAAGAGAGTCTCTGGAACCAATGTATCATTTTACCAAAGATAATCTTTTGAACCAATATATCTTTGTATCAAAGAGTCACTGGATCCAATATATCTTTGTACCAAAGAGCGTCTCTGTCACTAATATATCTTTGTATCAAAGAGAGTCACTGGAACCAATATATTTTTGTATCAAAGAGAGTCACTGGAACCAATATATCTTTGTATCAAAGAGAGTCACTGGAACCAATATATCTTTGTATCAAAGAGAGTCACTGGAACCAATATACCTTTGTATCAAAGAGAGTCACTGGAACCAATATATCTTTGTATCAAAGAGAGTCACTGGAACCAATATATCTTATCAAAGAGATTCTCTGTCACCAATATATCTTTGAATCAAAGAAAGTCATTGGAACCAATATATCTTTGTATTAAAGAAAGTCACTGGAACCAATTTATCTTTGTATTAAAAGAGAGTCACTGGATCCAATATATCTTTGTATTAAAGAGAGTCACTGAATCTATATATCTTTGAACCAAAGAGAGTCTCTGGAACCAATATATATTTGTATCTAAGATAGTTTCTTGAACCAATTTATAACCTTTAAGGACAAAATAGGAGCAACAGAGTATTCTGCTAACTGGTACAAGTAGCTTTAGCTTTATATAAGCTACAATTCGACATTCAACAGTGCAATTGGTAAAGATATTGTGATTAATGTTGTGGTAACAGGAAAACTGCACAACGTTTAAAATTACCATTGAAATGTCAAATGTGTTTGGCAAAATCTTTCAGAATCTTTGGTCCTTAATACTCTTCAACTACGTACTTTATTTTGCCAAAATTTGTTGATTTGGTCGTCACTGGACGAAACTTCTGTTGTGGACGAAATGCGCGTCAGGTGTACAGAATTATAAGCCTGGTATCCTTGATGAGTTATTTTCATTGTTTGGTTTCAAATCAGCATGCATTGGTTGTACACTTTACTTTAAGTCACTACTTTACAATAAAAATAAAAACAGTTTATTAAATGACAGGTGTTCTTTTGGTTGCTTTTTGTAAAACTAGCTGATGGTATTTTCACGTCATTTTGACTCTGGCGGATAGTTGTCTCATCGTCAATTATTACAAAAAGAGCAGTATAATGGAAAAAAAAAATAAAAGAATAGAGAAAAATAAAAAAAAAAAATAGAGAAAAATAAAAAAAAAAAAGAATAGAGAAAAATAAAAAAAAAAAAAAAAAAATAGAGAAAAATAAAAAAAAAAAGAATGAATTTGAATTTTGAATTTTGGTGTTTTAACGCCACTTTTAAGCACCGCTTTTGGGCTATTTCGTGGCGGCCAGTTTTTATTGGTGGAGGAAGCCGGAGTCCCCGGAGAAAACCACCGACCTTCGATAGGAAAACTGTCAATCCTAGTCAATTAAGATTGGAGTCGAGTGCACCCGCACGAGCGGGGTTCGAACTCACAACCTCAGTGTTGACTGGCTAGTGATTACAGTAGTAACTAACTAGACCACTCGGTCACCGAGGCCCAAAAAAAAAAAAAAAAAATAGAGAATAATTGGATGCTAAAATATAAAAAATGGAGAATGATTTGCAAAACAATAATCATGATAATGAATAGAAAAAAATGGCCTAAAAATTTAAAGAATATAGAAACGTAGAACCTCCTGTCAAATACAACAAGGAAGCAAACAAAAAAAAATGGTAGAAAATTGAGTAAACGAAACTAAAATATCATCAGCAATTACATTCCTATTTCAAATAACGCAGATTAATCTTACTACATTTAGATATATAAATGCAAACATCCGTCTTATCACAGAGAATTGAATTTCTATTTACGACGCCTAGGTTAATAGAGTTTTCCGCTTGAAATATACGTAACAGACATGTATAACTACTGTTGCATAAAACTTCAATCCATTTCTTTCCTAAACAAGCTGTGATTTAACCGTTTCATACTATAAAATTTAGATTAGCTACAAGAAAACGATGAGGCTGTCACGATGTTTAAAATTACCATAGAAAATCGCAGTATTTCACTTACAGAACTATATTCAAAAAGTCATTTACCGCTGTAGTTTATTGTTAGCGGCTATACTCTAGCCAGTTACACAATTACTGAATGATATGGATGAACGAATTTGTAATGATACTTAAACAATAATTTCTTGGGGAGTTTGATCGTAATGGTCGTTTCAACAGCTTCCAATATGTCCGAAATGATTAGGGAAGAACATTTCTTCTGTGCGTTTTATGAATATTAATAAAGATTCAATTTATTAAAGCATTAAGAAGTCGTTTTATAACCATAGCTTAGATTTCAAACTAAGTAGAATGGCTATTCTACGCAGCTCATGTCAAATATTTAAACAATGTTACCAGTTGAACTCCACGATAACATTTGATCGGAGTCACCTCCATTTGATCGGAGTCACGAGGTCTGGTGGCCATAAATTCAGTAAACAAACAACTTCCTCACTGTGAACTCAAAAACAGGGCCGTGTTCTTTGAATAACCCTTCCCTGTTTAATTTTCAGTTAATGTTTCGACTTCGTTGTTAAATGATCCATTGAGAGAGAAAAATCAAATACAACCCCTCATTCTTATTTGATTGATTGTTGTATGCTTAACATTCAGTGGCAAATATTTCATGCATTTTCAGGACGATATTTTGATATATACAGTGTTCATGTATAAGGCGTCGACCGGATGTTTATTGATTGCAGCACGTTTAATAAAGGGGACGTTAGACAAGGGGGGAGGTAATCATATCAAGTAGTAGCGAAATCTTAGTGTAGATTTATATTGTATCCTTTCTACAAAAAAGTACTTTAGTTTTTAGGTTGTTTTGATTTCTAAATGTTCAATAAAAAGGTACAGAAATGATCTTATTTTTCTGATTCAGATTCTATTAAAACTATCGTTAATGAATCGGATCAGAAATTCAAAAAAAAAATCATCGTAAGCCATAAAGTGGTGTATTGAATAGCAGCAATGTATCAAATTTGTTCAATTTTCTTCCAGGAGACATCAGTGTTCCGGGCTTAGAAGATGATGTTATTCCAATACATAATATTCATAAAAATGTCCATGGGCTGGTACCAGATACAAATAACGAGACGATGTCGACACACGGAAGTAAAAATCAGGTACTAAATAGTTTGTGACGAGATTGCTTCCCTTACATAGTCGATACTTCGACAGTCGTAGGGTGGAGCTAGGGAAGTTCTTCTTTAGTTCCATCGGATAGAGCACTGACTGTAACACAGAGGCACTGGGTTCGAGTCCTGGAGGAGAAATTGTTTATTTCTAGTAATAATCATTCTCTCCGGTTACAAGTTTAATCAAGAAATAATTCATGCATGCCAGCCATAGATTTGTTGGATATTTTCACATGGCCTGGGCCATTATATTCGAATTTTATTACGAGCGTTAGCTAATAAAATCCTTAAAAATTGAGTGAATAGCATGAACTCCAGAGGAGCGAGACTGGGTGTGTCGGCAGGTTAACCTATATATGCTTCATTATAACACATTATGAATATTTGGCCTGCTATTATGTTCATCGGTTTTAATAATACTTGTTTTTACACATAGACGTATGGCTATGGTCTGGCTGTGGCTGAAGAACATCAAATACGGTGATTATATCCATATTTTTATATGATTGTCAAAATTATTCTTGTCTCTCAATTATCAGATTAATGTTATAAATTATTATACTCATCATGGCAACCATTTTCTATTTGTAGACAAATCCAACGCCACTATCGACGCCACACATTTCCGACATCGATTCCACAGTTCTATTACAAATATTCATCCCGATTACAGTAGCCCTTCTATTGCTGTTTCTAGTGGCAATAATTATAGTAAAAAGATCAAAGGCATGTAGTAGAAAATCGAAACGTAACGACAAGGTTATTCGGAACAGCGAGGATGTCCAGTTGCTTGACAGGATGAACTTTGTTAACAAAAATCCGACATATTTTTTCTCTGAGCGAGGCGAGAAGGATCCTAAGAAAATCCCAATCAACAATATACCGTACGATAAAGTAACGTTACAGGATATTGTCGGAGAGGGTGCCTTTGGTCAAGTTTATAGAGGTAAGTAAACACTCAACACTATATCGTTCACACTATTCATCACATAATTTGAGGGTCTGGATGAGAGGGTCCTTCGTTTAAATTTTTAGGTAATTTTTCTCTATTCTTCATACTCTTTGCCCATTATTCTCTATTCTTTATATTTTAGCTCCTCATTATTCTCTATTCTTTATTTTTTTGTCCATTATTCTCTACTCTGTGAACCGCCATTCACACCCTCTAATATCCTGAATTCAAGCGCCTGTGGCAGAACCGTTATTTAAATCCATATTTTCATATATATCTTCTCTATTTATACTTATCTTAAATTTATATACGTACATCGAAAAATATCAGAAAATTCGTCAAAGATTCCAGGCATTTAATTTGTTATCCAGGCGCGCGTTTCGTCTACAAAAGACGCATCAGAGACTCTTGAATGGAAAACGTAAACAGGCCAAATAAAGTACGAAGTTGAAAGGTATTGAGGACCCAAGATTGCGTAAGGTTTTGATAAATAGAGTTAACAAATAAACTCATCATAGATACAAGGATTGAAATTTTGTACGCCAGACGCGCGTTTTGTCTACAAAAGATTTATCTGTGACGCTCGAATCAAAACAGTTTAAAAGATCAAATAAATACGAAGTTGACAAGCATTGAAGACCCAAAATTCCTAAATGTTTTGCCAATACAGCTAAGGTAATCTATTCCTTGGGTAGAAAATCCTTAGTATTTCGGACATCCAAAGTTTTGTTAACAGTTAATCTATTTCTGACCTAGGTTAGTGTATGAGATACATGGTATCAAAGTGTTGTTTAAGAAATAAAGCTTCTCCTTTTGATTAAAAAACATAACAAAAAGTAAAATAACAAAAATACCGAACTCCAAGGAAAATTCAAAACGGAAAATCCCTTAGACAAGAAGGTTGCCTTCTACGTCTATGAAAATCTGATTCGTTTCATGATAAAACTGTGGTTATATTTTTTATGTTGATCATAATAGATTCTTAATGTTGCTTTCGATTCGTTAATGATAAATTTATAACCCAATAATTGCATGACAATGTCTTAAAATACCAGACTACCATAGGTGTCTTATTAATTTCGCATCAAATAAATTATTTACCATTTTAAGCTACGAGATGGCTAAGAGTGTAATAATTTCCAGTCAAACAATGTTAAATTACAATAATTTGCAAAAAACGGAAACTTAATGGAAAGAAGACAATTTTTCACGTATTGAGGTCAAATGAGGTTAGAACAGAACGAACGAGGAACCATTAAGGATAATTAATATAACTTTTAGTTTAAAAAAATCAATATTGCCTTGACATGAGGGTCTATATGGGGGTCCTTAGTTTCTTCAGCACTTCATTATTCTCTTTTCTTTATTCATTTGACCTTTCTTTCTCTATTCTTCATATCATTTTCCATTTATTCTGCACTTTTTACCCTTTATCTGTAAACCCCATCCATACCCTCAGACATTGGAAATGAAGTTATAACGAATTAGAAGTGCAACTTATCAAGCTGGTACATCTAGTTACATTTTTGTTGTTTGCCATGATGCCATTAACACATCACGTGTAAAAATGAATTAAGTGTCTGTGTTTACAATATAAAATAAGGAGATGTGGTAAATGATTTCCAATGAGACAATTATCCAAATGACGCAGATTTAAGCAAATACAGGTCACCGTGCAGATTTCAATAATGACCAATATCCATACCGCATAGTCAGCGATATAAAAGTTCGAGATAATATAACAAGTTGCTTTTAAAAAAAAAAGTCAATACGTGAACCTTAGAACTTTTTTTATTCTAATTATTATTTCAACTGAATTGTTAATTATATCTCAGTATTTTCATTACCATGTGTGTGGAGGATAATATTTTCTTCTTATTGTAAATCAGGACAATTATGGCATGTTGAGAGTGGTGTTGAATATAACGTAGGGAGATAAGGAATGTTTTAATTTCAATAGTTCATTTCTGGATGGTGTTAGCTTTCATTTTTACCAGTGTGAAAGGTCAAACTACTACCAATGGATGACACTTCTAGGGTGTTTATTGGTAAAGGTAATATTTCAACTAGAATCCCTCAGTAATTTTATATATTTTTCTTTTTAAAATACATATTTCAGAGCAAGTACGATATTTTGTTTCATAAAATGTGAAAGTTTTATTCCTACCAAATAAAACAAAATCTACCTGCTTACCATTTTATTTTGTGCCGTAAAATCCCGTTCCACCTTAGAAATGGGTTTGGATCCAGCTAATACATTCAATTTACTGCTTATACGTCTATACTTAATATACCTGTCCAAATCAGGAGCCTGTTTTTTTTTTTGTTTCCTTATTATCGTGTCTGTTTTTCGCCATTGATTTATATCTTGTACAACACTGGTCAATTTGATGTCATTTAGCTCGCTTTGCTAAGAATCAACATTCAACGCCATGTTTATTGAAAAGTTCTCTCATTGGCAAGCATAGTTTACCAAATATTATATAATCATATCAGTCGCAGGATAATTCGATTATTATGAAATGCGGTTCCTTAAATCAACATACGTAATAAATCTCAAAACTTTACACTGTTTTTTGCTAACTTATGTTTGTTGCCTATAATTCAGAAATTTAACAGTGTTTTGGGATTTTTTTTGCCTAAAGTTAACTTTTTAAGCATGGGTCCCTTTTCAAACGTCTCCAAACTACTACCTCAAATGTGAACTTAAGTATAGGGGAAATTTTGTTCGCTATTTTTAAAAAAATCTTCTACTTGCTCTATTTTGCATGTGAAGACCATAAAACCGTCATCTCTATATTGACAGTGAAATTTTATGTTTTCTTTCCATTTGAACTTATCTAAGATATTTATCAATAGGACAGACAGGTATGTGCATGATGGTGAAAATATACCACCTATGGAGGGGGCGCTCCTATAACTTGTTTGTATAACTTTCAATTAAACTCAAATTTATTGTTTCTTAGAATTAATTAAACAAATGCAGTTTAATCTTTTTTGTTGAGAATCTTTAAAGGATATTCTTGTGTTTCAATTAATTCTTCTGCATTGATAATTAACTGTTTCTTTTAAATTATCAATGATCATATTTGTGTACATTTACGTTTCATCATAGGCAATAAGAATGCATTCTCTTTTTACCTCGTGTGTTTTATTAATGAAATCTTTTGTATCTTAAACTTAAATGTTATGCCTCGACAAAAATGGTTTTATATTAGATCATTTAATCTCTCAATGCGTCTCGTGGTAGAGTTACACTTATCGAAGATCAGTTGTAAGGAACATTAATTAATGTCTTTCACTAGTTGACCATTACTCAATGCCTATATATATATATATTTATTCAAGATAAAAAGGCATGAATTTGACAGATACAAAATATTACAAAGACACAGATATAGCACTAGACATAGTTTATAGACACTAAAATGATATACATGTTTACTAAAAATTTTAAATTAAGAAATAAAAAGTAAAATTATGAAAATTTTCATGATATTTTGATAATATGATTAGACTAGATTAGAAATGAGTGAAATTTAACTTGACTAGATTTTACACTGTAGCCTAATATCTTAGGATGACCCACAAAAGTTAGTAAAACTTATTTCCAGTGGGGTCCTTTATTATTTATTTCTAGATTAATTTAATAAATTTTTGAAAGACTGAGGTACATGTGTCCATGTTTTGAATCCGATTATTATTCTTTAAGAATTATACGTATGGGAATCTATTTCTATTTTTTTCTATATAGATTATCAACTATATCTTTTATTACCATGTAGCATATAAGTGAGGTTAAGCGATCTGTGTAAAGTTCTTTATTGCCAAGTTTTAGATATCTCAAATGATCCGTATGGAGGTGCTCTTAATTGCAGGAAGCTAATACAGATAAGAAATATAAATGTTCCGAATGAACAATAATTAGGGTTCCGAATTTTCCTCCATAGACTATATTTCTAACTAATTAATATGCGTGAACCCTCAGGGGTTCACGCAAAAATAAGAAGACGTGGTATAATTGTCAGCTCTCCACAAGAGACCAAATGATTAACATTGACATGACAAAAGTTAACATCTATAGGTCACCGTACGGTCTTCAACAATGAGCAAAGCCAATACCGCATAGTCAGCTATAAAAGACCCCAAAATGACAAATTTAATGTAAAATATTTTAAACGAGAAAACTAACGGCTTGATTTATGTACGAAATAATGAACGAAAAACAAATATGATATACAGCAACAAACAACAACCACTGAATTACAGGCTCCTTTTGTTGCGATAATCACCAAGTCGCATTATTTGCATTAATAAAAACCTCGTTATAATTTCTGATTTTACAGTAATCAACACCCGTCTGTCAGTCAGTTAATAAATCGAAAAAATTCTAATTGCAGGTCAAAACTTTGCAGGAGAGAATGTCGCCATTAAAATTTTAATAAATCGAAAAATTTCTAATTGCAGGTCAGAACTTTGCAGAAAATGACGCAGGAGAGTATGTCGCCATTAAGATTTTAAAAGATGGCGTGTCAAACGAAGTGAAGGAAGATTTTGAGCGGGAAGTTGATATTATGAGTGCCTTTGATCATGAAAACATATTGAAACTGATAGGAATTATACAGAGAGGTTTGCTTTAAACTAATGCATGTTCTATTTCCTATTCGTATATAATTATATTTTTACTGTTTATTTTAACAAATTGGAAAACGGTGTAAAGCCACGGGGTTAATTTTTGAGTCTGATCCATATATATATTGAAAACTATTATTGCTACTCCTGCTTCTACAAGATTTTTATCAAACTATGATGAGTTTATCTACTAACGTTAATATCTACCTGCTAGTTTGGCGATAAATGTTTGTGAAATAATCATCGAAGAAATCAGCAAAGCATCAAGAAAATGCAACTGTAACAAAATCAAATTGGTCCTTCAACTTTATCATAAACAAAGCCACTGCGTATAAACATTTCTCTTAAATCTTACCCGATTTATCCTTTTCCTGACCTGTTGATTAGATTTATTTAATCAACCAACGTGTGGTTCTTTTGATCTCAGTTCTTGATTTTTCATTAGTCAAAATTCGATTTAATATGACATCAAATTGTCTTGCTTCCCTCTGAATTTCCTATTGTGACGTCATAAAAAAGGCGTCCATGCCTGATGACGTCACATAGAAAGAATACATCTTTTTGCAAATCATTCGAAAAGTAAGATTGAGATTGTCTGTATATCGTCTAAAAATCATTAGAGAAACAGATTCCACCACTAAATCTCGTGCAATACGATATTTATCCACTCTCGACAGTGAAATTTTAAATACTTAAAACGCTCGGCGAGCCTTGCGTTTTAAATTTGAAAATTTGATTGTCCCGAGTGGATAAATATCGTAATATACTCGATGCAGTGGTAGAATCTATGTTTTCAACGATATCACGTAAATATATATATATATACCACTGTCATTGGTTTAGAAATGAAAGATTGGCTCCAAAAACAACATCTCCCTATAAATTGCATACAAAAGACAAGAAAATTGGATTGTCAAGAAATATATTTATCACCTACAACCGCGACAAGTAATAAACAAGAAACTGACGTCTCAATACAAAATTACAAACAGACAACCAACTACATGAACTAGTTAATTATCTTCAGAACAAATCAGTAATACCACTATGCATATTTAGAAGAATGATCTGAAAATCTCATATCATTTTTCGTATTGAACTGTCGAAGTTAAGATTTGCTTCACTTAATATTGTCAATAATGAACGAATTAATTATCACATAATATTCATACGCTGTTGACAATTACATGTTTTGCCTTAAGATTTATGATCCAAGTAATGTTTATTCTCACCCTAGATAACATAACTTGTGTAGAAAAACTGTCCCCTTTTCAAAATGTTAGGAAATCGTTGTAACAACTTTTTGAGGAATTCTTTTGTGGTATAATGCAATGAAAAATTGACGATCATATCAAACTTAGACTTAGTTTACAGGAGCATTTAAAGTTTCTATACCTCGGACGGTCGTTCGGCCTGTAATTCTTTGTTTGTCGTAGTTTGCTGTTTATCTTATTTGTTTTTCCTGTATTGTTTTGTCATAAATCAGGCCGTTGGTTTCCTTGTTTGAATTGTTTCACATTTTTTTATGTTGGTGCCTTTTAAAACTTGCTATGAGGTATGGGTTTTGTTCATTGTTGAAGGTCGTACTGTGACCTACAGCTACTTAACTCTACGTCATTTGATGACGATGACTGATGAATAGTCTCAATGGCAATCATATCACATCTTATTTCTATACAGTTTCAGAACCAATCTATAAAATTTATTTAAAGAATGACTGTAATATTTTTTCTGTCTATGAAGAAATAACATCAAAAATGTGGTGCACACTGAAAAACTGGTTATTTTAAAGTGTACACCCCATTTTTTATGCTATTTCGAATAGACAGAAAAAATATTACAGTCATTTCTTATAATTTAATTCTAAATTCCATTTTAAACCGGAGTAAACCATGAAAAAACGTTGATGACGTCACGGTCACATGACAAAATGATGTCTATGAGCTTATAAACAAAACAACGTCACCCAATCAGAAGACGCGTTACATCCAAAAATAAATTATTATTTATTTGTTCTTGTCCTATGCATAACGACCCTGAAAAATTAACGTTAACGAATCTATGATCAATAATTCAATCAATGATATGGCTAAAAGAGAGGCAAACGATATCAAAAAGACATTCAAACTCATAAGTCGAAAATAAACTGACAACGGGTCCGAGTACACAGTTATTTCGTAGTGCATTTCTTTTAGACAATAAATAAAAATTAAAAAAATCCCACCTGCGCTTTCTCAATAATATTTTTACAGTGTGTTGTACTACTTTTGGGACAAATTATATCAAAATTATAGAAAACTTCATCGGCTCTAACTCAAAATATGGACAATTTTATGTTAAGGGGGTCTTGAAATCTTTTGACAGCTTCCGAAGTGCTAATTTTTAACCTTTTTCAGCTGGACCAAATCACTACTTTACTTCAAAATATATGACCCAAATTTTTTTACAGTGTCATTTCACCCCCTTACTTGCTATTTGAGGCATAAAACATGGAGAAATAAATTTGGAAGGGGTATAAAAAAATTGGCAAGTAACACACTGTCCACACTAAGGACTATATTCGTGGACAACGAAAATCAAAGGACGATAACTGTGTACTCGGACCAACGCTGAAAAAGAAAATAGACCAACAGACAAACAACAGTACACAAAACACAACATAGAAAACTAAAGACTGAGCAACTAGAACCCCAACCTAAATCTGGGGCTGATCTCATGTGCTCCGGAAGGGTAAGTAGATCCTGCTCCACATGAGGCACCCGTCGTGTTGCTCATATTAGTGCACATCCTGTTTTAAGTCCTAATCCGTAGATCACATTCGGGAAAAAAGGGAGGGGATTGTAGTTACGACATTTGGAAAATATTCAAATTTGGACTTTTCAGAATTGTAAGATCAACCCAAAAGAGAGGGAACGTACCACAGGGGCAATTAAAATTCACCAGTACAATAATAACAGATACTACTTTGCCAAAAAAGAATTTTTTTAAAGATAAACTATTGAAATTTACTGTTATGCAATTTTAGAAATCATTTTGAAGTAAGGAATATATCTCCCTCATGCACAGTTCTGATTCCATGTCCAGTTTTGGCTATACTTTAGGTCCTTTTGGTTGATCAGCTCTTCAACGTTTGTATTAGGTTTTGAATTTTTCAGTATTTTGGCCTAAAGAATCACTGAAGAGATATTAATTGTCGAAATGCGCATCTGGTGCAGTAAAATTGGTACCTTTTTATTATTCAAAACATTATATAGAAATCTAAAGATGAGCAAAACAAAACCCACCTAACAAAGGGGCTGAAATCAGATTCTATTTAGATGTGTGCAGTTCCTGCTCAACCAAGTTTATTTTAAGATTGCATAAATTTTTATTGACTTAAAACAAAATCTCTTTCAAACGCAAAAAAATATGAAAAAATAATTTGAATATCTTAACGCTTTACTTTTGAATATAACATTTCATGTCATATCATGACCGTTTCTGGCTAAAATGCACTTCGTTTAGTGACAATAAAATTATGAATGTTTCAAAGAAATGTTAAATCTCGAAAAAAAAATCAAATACAAGGCATATCAACAAAAAAATCAAATAAAATTGAGAATGGAAACGAGAATGTGTGAAAGAGACAGCAACCCGACCAATGAGCAGAAAACAGCCGAAGGCCACTAATGGGTCTTCAACACGGCGAGAAAATCCCGCACCCGGAGGCGGGCTTATCCAAAATCCATTCCTCTATTTTAGCATTACCCAAATGCTAACCCTCATTACGGTATCCAGTGGATAGGGGAATTGATATCCGAACTACAGACTGTATTACTGAAAGTCTATTTTTTTCATTTAAGGTCCGACTGAGACGCCTTACATGGTATTTGAATATATGGTGCATGGAGACTTGGCAGATTTACTCAGACGAAACGACCCAGCAATGCGTTCAAGTGACAGAGATATAACACTGGAAAAGGTAACGATATAAAAGATCAAGATTTATAGAAATAAAAACACAACATTTAAATTGAATAGGATTTGAGATTTGAAATGAGTTCTTCCAATTTAAAACACTGTTAATTTCAGATAGTTTTGTAAATGTGTTGCAAAAGAATATAAAACATGTAATGATGATTTACAAAACGGAACAGAAAACAATAACGATGGTAGGTTAGACATTATTAATAAACCGTTTATTTCTTTCAAAATCATAGATGCTAAATTAATGCGATAAAGAATAGGAAATGACTTTGCTTTAATGAATTCTTCGTTTCAACTTTGCAGTTATCAAATTTACTATAATTATTGTATTTCAGAATTATTCATACATTTTTTTTAAATATTTTTCACATTTTTATGATCATTAGGATGATGAGGAAACAATAATGTAGTCTTTTTGAAAATTTTATTTGATAATGATATTGAACTTAAATAAAATGGAAATGAAATCTCAGAAATGATACAGAAACTCAAAGATAATATCTGTTAAATGTCATACTCTTTTTGATAATAATCTGTTTTATTCCAAATATGCAGCAATCATTAATCAATTGTGAAACATAATATGCAATCATTTCATGAAGTAAACATCACATGTCACAATTATGAAGAAAAGGAAGTTGGCAAACGAAGGTGTCATCCATCAATTGATTGCATGCATAAATATTTAAAAATTTCCTTGAAACATGACCATGAGTTAATAGTTTTATCTATATCACTGCTCTGATGTGTAAGTTATCAGAAGTATTTACCATATATCCAATGTTTCTTAAAAACTGACAGTAACGAAATAGCCAATTGTGCTGAAAGTGACTTTAAATGACCAAAAATCAATTATTCAGTCTCAGTGGTATTCGTGTTTATTTAACATTATTTTTCTGTTGTTTGTTTTGTGCACTGTTCTCCATCTTTTCATTTTTCTATTGGCCATTTTCGTGTTTGGCTTTAATTGAATCTCTGGATTTTGATTGGCTTGGTATACTCCTAGTTTTGATCAGTTTATTATACGATAACAAATTAACAACACATACAAATCATTATCATTATAATTTGTATTGTATAGAAATTTTACTTTATAGAAAGGAAGGGGTCAACTCCTTCATGGAAAGTTGACCTACGATAGATTTGGCTATTATAATTTTAGGTCATTTTTGGTCAAATAGCTTTTCAACTGGTTCGGTTCTTATACATCCTTGGTTTTCAAATATTCGGCTTTGAGTGTTCCTCGTTAAAGTAAATCCAGAAAAGCGCATGAAACTTATAAAGTGTTGTTCTACAAAATTTCTCATCTTGAACATAGAAACATAAAATTGTTGAATATATTTAACTTCACACCATACAAAGAAAAATTAAAACTTTCTATCTATTCCAGACTGACCTCATAGACATTGCTACACAGATTGCTAATGGAATGACTTATCTAACGTCCAAACATTTCGTTCATCGTGATCTTGCAACCCGGAACTGTTTAGTAGGAGAAGGATTTGTTGTTAAAATTTCAGATTTTGGGATGGCACGTGATGTGTATACATGTGATTATTACAGGGTAAGCTAATTATGTTTAACATTGTTAATTACAGATATGTATCGCTGCAACTACCAAACTAAAATGTGTTTCGACATCTTATACATACCAATAATCCATGATTACGTCCACAAGGTATAGATTGCCGTAGCCGTAGTTGGCACAATTGTTTGGAATTTTCTGTTTTTAAAGCTCTACCTCTTCGTTTATTTTGGAGGCTTTTCAACTGTTTCAATTCGAGCGCCACTGATGAGTCCTACGAAGACGAAACATGTATATTTCACACAAAATTATAAGCCTCGTAGATTTGATGAGTTTGTTTGACGACCACTTACTCGATACCACTTCTTGTGGACGTTATGTTTCCGAGGGTATTATCAGCCAAGGAGTCAGCACTTTTTGGTGACATGACATATCATTGATAAATGTCTGTAAATTTTACTGTGTATACAATGTTGAATTATTCGAAACACTAAGGTTTTCCATCCCCAGGTGTAGATTACCGCAACTTTAATTAGCAAAACGTTTCGGTATATTCGGTTTTTAAAGCTCTACAACTTTGAATTTTATTTGGTCGTCCTACTGTTCGAGCGCCACTGATGAGTCGTGAGTAGACGAAACACGTACAAAATTATAAGCCTGGTATCTCTGATAAGATTTTATTTTCTGTAAGTCTTGAGTCGCTACTTGAATATGACGTCACGTACTGTTATTAAGTATGAATCTCAAGTGGAAGGCCTGGTGTCACGAAGAATTACATTTCCCCTAACTCCACATATTTATTTTTTAAACCGAGTTTAAGGCTTGGTAGACAAAACGATGTTTACAGTGTATGACATCTATCTTGTCAGTCTCCAGTTTACATAAAAAAACATTTATCCCAAAGCATTTGGTGAGCGTTCGGACATATTTCGAGTTTTTTTTTATATCACTGCGTAAGCAGTGCTGCTGCTTGATTGTCCGTTTTTTGTTGTTTTTCTGATGTTTTTTTTTTGTTTTACTTTAAAAGATTTTGAATATTCTGTGTAGGTCTTCTTTGTTTTAAATGTTTAGTTTTGAGCGTTCCCGGTAAAGGTAACTCCAGAAAACCGCTTCGGATGCACGAAATTTGAAAAGTGTTCATTTCAATAATTCATACTTTTTATATGTTTTGCTTTCCATAATGTTGGTGTAAAGCGTACCCGGATGAAATGTAATTAAGAACACATGGAGACTGTTAACAAAGAAATGTTCGAAAAACTATGGAGTTTCTACCCCCGGGAATAGATAACCTAAGTTGTATTTGGCAAACCCTTTCGGAATTGTTTATTCCCAATGATCTTCAACTTAGTACTTTTTTTGGCTATTTTACTTTATTTTTATTCAAACGTTACTGATGAGTCTTTTGTCGATGAAACTCGCGTTTGGCGTTCAAAACTATAAGCCTCGTATCCTTCATGATTCTTTATACCATGTATGTATTTTAAACAGCTTGGCAAACTTTTCCCAACAAAGAATAGAATATAACTAAGATTTAAGGCATTACACTAGATACACTTACTATAAATTATACAAATGTGGAGCAGGCTCAGCTTACCCTTCTGGAGCATCTGAAATCACCCCGTCTTTTTAGTGGGGTATGTGTTGCTCAGTCTTTAATTTTCTATGTTGTTTTTGTGTACATGCCTTTTGGTCTTTAGTTAATTGGCTTTGTGACCCCTTTGTCAGTTTATTTTCGACTTATAAGTTTAAATGTCAATTTGGTATCTTTTACTATTTTAATAATAATACTAATTCATAAGCATCACTGAAGTGACATTAATTGTCGAAATGCGCATCTGGTGCAGAAAAATTGGTACCTTTTATGTTATCATAACACATTTACTGCTCTAAATGCGAATTTCAAAATATTCTCTCAGTTGATTCTTGACACCAAAAAATTTAAAAATCTAAAACCCAATATTAACGTTGAAGCACTATTAAGCCTATTTATTTTGTTTTGGTTCGAGCGTCACTGGTGAGTTTTTGGTAGACAAAACGCGCGTCTGGCGTAGAAAATTTTAATCCTGGTATCTATGATGAGTTTATTAGACAAAGAAAGATAACTCTATATTTTTTTCTGAACTGTATTCCGTTTGAAAATACTAAAAGCAGCAGCATCAAAATAAATATTCAAATTGAATCTGGTATTTCATATCTCCCTAATTTGTTAAAAATGACGGTTGACATTATCAGAATATGATGTAGGATGTCCAAGGTTTTGCAAATTTGTTTGATTACCCATCCACTGGAATAGAGCAAATCATGTATTTAAACATTGCCATATAAGCGGGAGGTTTGTCTAGCAATAAAACCAGGTTCAACCCACGATTTTTTTCTTAAAATGTCATGTACCAAGTCAGGAATATGGCAGTTGTTAACAAATATACCGTTTCTATGTATGTTGGCGTTTGTTTTTGTTGCATTTCAGTATTTCTGTTGTTCCGTTGTTCTCCTCTTATAGTTGATGTGTTTCCCTCGGTTTTGGTTTGTGACCCGGATTTGTTTTCGTTTAATCGATTTATGACTACTGAACAGCTGTATACTACTGTTACCTTTATTTAGAAAGTCAAAAGATTTAGGTTTATGTATAATATAATACACTTCTTTTGTTTATGATCAATTCATGTTCAGAAATTGTCAATTTTCAATGTCGAAGAAGAAAAGTTATTGATTATTTATTAGAACATTAAAGAAAATTTTAAAATCATAGAAAATACATTTGCTATTCAGTTCAAACACAAAAACAAAATAGTATGCTAACTAAATTACATAGGGAAAAGATAAAAACATATTATTGAATAGTAACAACATATATCATACAGAATGTAACCAAACGTTAGTGTACAATAATTTATCATATTGCACTAGTTCGAATACAGTTTCAAATTAATGATGTCATCTTTAAAAGTGATATTTGCCGCATTTTATAAAAACGTCACGAGCTTTTAAATGTATAGTTGTGGTGAAATGTGTGTAACGTTTAACGTGGCGGCTATCACTTTTTTGTAGGTTAATAAACTGTTTTATAATAAATCCAATTCATACAGAAAAACTTGCTAAAATAATACCATGGATAAATTATCAATATTCAAGCAATAACCTTCTTATTGTAAAGAAAACCTTGAAAACCTGTTTAACATACATATGGTACTCATGCCTGGGGGACGAGATAATGTCCTTATCATATTCTTTATTTATTGGTATACTGTTTACAGATTGGAGGGTCACGAATGTTGCCAGTACGTTGGATGTCTCCGGAGAGCATGAAATATGGACGATTTACAACAGAGTCCGATATATGGGCATTTGGTGTGGTATTATGGGAAATATTCAGCTATGGTAGACAACCATATTATGGTCATTCAAACGAAGAAGTAGGTGGTTTTGAATATTTTTTATTCAAATAATATGACATGAATATTTTGTTGAATTGATATCATCTAGTTTTTGAAATTCAAGAGACTTGATTTCTTGATGATTGATTAACCATTATATCTTTATATATGCTTGTGATGAATATTTTGTTATCAGGGTTTTAAAACGTTCGTTAAAAGATTTGAAAACGGATGTAAATGAGATTTTTGTCGTTCACTCCTTTATTAAGCTGTGTGTGAAAATATTAATGGAGGTTAGTTATCAATAAACATTAGAAATAACCGCGTTTTATTCTGAATTTGTGCACGTCATTTTCAACGAAATAAACACATTAATACGCTGACAAGGACATTTCTTTTCATGACTTTAATTTAAACAAATGTTTGCTATTGAATTGGGTTAATGTATACTGCTTAGAAATATTTAAGGAAATACAAAATTAACGATTGGTGATTATTTTCCTTAACGTCTTGTTGCAAATAATGTATTCCCTTTCAAGACAAATACCTGCATGCAGACAACGAACAATATTTTTTTGGTGATATGGAAACATGTAAAAAAAAATGTTTTAAGTATTTGATTAAGACTTTACTATTTAATTCCCAGTAGGTTTTTAAATTAGTTGAAATTGATTTGTTTCATTTTGTTAACAATCCAGAAAACTACTGTTTATGAATATTTGGACGCACAGAAGGTAGAACGTGTCGAAATTGATTTCCGTTTTTTTAATATATGTTATTGCATTTTCAGGTTGTTCGTTTTTTGGATGAGGGGATTATGTTACAACGCCCAGACGAGTGTCCATCGACAATATATCATATAATGCTTGGGTGCTGGAAGAAAAATCCAAAAGAAAGAATTCCTTACCAGAAAATACACAAACATTTAGTAGATTTCAGCAAAGAAATTCTGCGTAACGTTCACCATCATCGGCCGATTCTGAACAGTGAAAGCGAGCCATGAAATCATTCACCTTTTTAAAAGCAAACATTTCCTTTTTGTAAAAAATTGGGATCATTAACAAAGATCCAAAGACACACTTGGTTCATGAACCTATTTCGTCATGTGTTCCCTTGGACATTACAGCCTTGTCCTTAAATGTAACACAGTAACATGTGTTATGCATCATAACATTTGTTATACAATGTAATATGTGCTATAATTGTTTTTACATTATAACATGTGTTAAACATTGTTGTACATTTTAACATGTGCTAAATATTGTTACACATTGCATCATGTGTTATAATTGTAACATGAGTTATATATTATAACATCGGTTATACATTGTAACATGAGTTATACATTGTAACATGAGTTATACATTGTTACATGTGTTATACATTGTATAAAACATTGTAATATGTGCAAAACATTGTAACGTATGTAAAGTAGTGTAGCTATTGTAACATGCCGATGAAAAGAAATACGATGCACACAACATGGACGTCCTTACAGCAGATTTGTACTGCTTACAAAATCATCATGTTCATTTTGATAAAAAAGTTAACTGTTGCAGGAGTTTCAGATTTCTTACTAAAAGAAAGTTTACTGTTACACTTAACTATTCTTTAAGTCATTGTGAGTTTGAACACTCCAATCGTAATTGAATATAATAGCCAATATTCCTGCCGAAGATCATGGGTTCTTTTCGGGCAATCCTGTTTCCTCTTCCAATTAAAAGTGGCCGTCACGATATTGGAAATAGTGCTGAAAGTGGCGTTGAACACTAACAATCAATCAGTCAATCATTCAGTTTTTTTTAATAACCGACATAAAATCAGCTGTTCCCTGTTTGACAGCGTCACGTGGTCTGTTTTTATATATGTTTTAATTTCTGATGAAACTACCAACAACAACAGATATGCATTATATCCATTTTCTTTTGTCTATGATATCAAATGTTATTTATAGGTTTGTATTGTTTTGTGTTGTGGCCCCTGAAGAAAACATGGAAAAGTTTTATACATTTTTTTTTTATTTCATTTAAAGACTATTAACGTTAAGAAAACAAAGAGTTAAAAGATTTCCTCACAAAATACCTTTTCTAACATTTTTATCAGAACATAATGAAACATTGAATCATTTCAGGTCGGCAGCTACTTAAAATATAACATCTTCACTCTGAGTTAAAAAAAAAAGAAGTGTATTTGTATAATGAAACTATGTAAGACAAAACACCACGTTTATTCATAATTCACAAGTAAATAGTAAAATAACAAAAATACCGAACTCAAGGGATATTCAAAACGGAAAGTCCTTTATAAAATGGCAAAATCAAAAGTTCAAACACATCAAAGAAATGGAAAACAACTGTCATATTCTTGACTTGATACATTCATTTCCTAATGTAGGAAATGGAGGATTAAAAGTAAGACAGTGAAAAGTAAAAATCTTAATCAAAATTCTGTTTGTTATTTGACCATACAAAATTTAAAGACGCGAATAGTCTGTATTCAGGTTTTACCTTTGGTATTGACCATGTTATGTATAAATGTTTACTTCTGCTTGAACTACAAACTTCATTTTTATGACCTTGATAACAGTTTCCTCAAAGAATGATTTTATTTATGCCTAATTACAATTATACCTAAGACTATTCGATTATTTTGTTAATGCTCATTTAGGATTTGATGATATCCATTATCAATGTATTTTGGCTTCCTGGGTTTGGTAATGGTATATTTTCATGTGCGTACTGAAATAATTAAAATTAAATATTTCTTTTCGATTACTTCTTTCTTATTTTAAGGGCAGTGTAATATAAGGTACGACCACTTTTTAGTAAGTTGAAGAAAAATTTATTTATCGTGGAGTTTTCAAACAACATGAGATTGACTGGTGACTGTTGGGATATTTCTTTTATTATATTTGCTATGATTCCTCGCCTATTTTTTTAATTTAAGGAAATAGTACACAGCAAATTTGTTACAATAGATCATGGGATAAATATTTATCATATATCATTACAGATATTTTGCTACATGATATCAAATGTCTAAAAAGTTAATGTAAAAAGTAAATAGATTTGTGTTCACACTCAACCTTGACAAAATGTATCGGTAAAAGCGAAATTAAGAAAACTTTGTCAGTTTCAACATGTGTGTGTGGTTGTTTCTAGACTAACTTTTACATGTACGTGCTTAAGTGGTTCTTTTTCAAATAAATTAACAATCAATTATTTATGATGTATAAGGTACTTATAAATTGAAATTTACTGTTTTGCAAGTTCAGGGGTCAAATAATTGCTTTTATCACACCTGTCTCCCGTTTGATACTTAGGAAAACTATCTAAACGATTGTTTTCTATATATATCAGATATTTTAAAAGATTAAGTAATTACAAAATATAGTCATACGGTTGTCATTGCTTTATTCCAGTCGGTTCTTTCTTATGTAATATGCCAAAATTAAATTAGCTGATCGTTTCCTCTGCATTGTGTTATACGTTTGTTTTTCTTTGAGGCTAGTTGATCGTTTCCTCTGCATTGTGTTACACTTTTGTTTATCTTTGAGGCTAGTTGATCGTTTCCTGTGCATTGTGTTATACTTTTGTTTATCTTTGAGGCTAGTTGATCGTTTCCTCTGCATTGTGTTACACTTCTGTTCATCTTTGAGGCTAGTTGATCGTTTCCTCTGCATTGTGTTATACTTTTGTTTATCTTTGAGGCTAGTTGATCGTTTCCTCTGTATTGTGTTATACGTTTTTTTTTCTTTGAGGCTAGTTGATCGTTTCCTCTGCATTGTGTTATACGTTTGTTTTTCTTTGAGGCTAGTTGATCGTTTCCTCTGCATTGTGTTATACTATTGTTTTGTATTTGAGTCTAGTTGAATGTTTCCTCTGCATTTTGTTTACATTTGTTTGTCTTTGAGGAGGTTATTTACCGTTTCCTCTGCATTGTAGTATACTTTTGTTTGTTTTGAGATTAGTTAACCGTTTCCTCTACATTACGTTATACTTTTGTTTCTCTTTAAGGTTTGATCAGTTATAGGATTTGAGGTTGGCGTTTTGTGTTCATTGATTGAAACCAATGGTCACAATAGAGGTGGGATTGCCTTTTGCCAAAATATGGGATAAAGCCGTTTAATTCACAGAAATTCGGGAATACTAAGGCAAATTATCCAGAAGCATGTGTCGTTTGAGTTGACGGTGTAAAATCATTTGCATATTAACGGTTGGTCCAGAACAATTTTTGTTTGTACTCAGTTGTCGGTTGCTCAAAAATCTTTTGCATGTTGACGGTTGGTCCAGATTCATGTGTTGTTAGTATTGTTGACGGGTGACCCAGAATCTTTTGCATGTTGACGGTTGGTCCAGAAACATGTGTCGTTTGTATTGAGTTGACGGTTGACCCAGAATCTTTTACATGTTGACGGTTGGTCCAGAAACATGTGTCGTTAGTATTGAGTTGACGGTTGACCCAGAATCTTTTGAATGTTGACGGTTGGTCCAGAAACATTTGTCGTTTGTATTGAGTTGACGGTTGACCCAGAATCTTTTGCATGATGACGGTTGTCCCAGAATTATGTGTCGTTTGTACTGATTTGACTGTTGGTCCAAAATCATGTGTCATTTGTATTGAAAGTCTAATACGGGTATGCCGGTAGGTCACCAAGTTTATATTAGTTTGCATTGTATTGACAGAATTGTATATTTTTAGTTTTACTTTGTGCAAAACTATGTCCTCATTATATTTGTTATGTACAGAAGTCACGTGACAGAAGTTGAATTATTATCGTTATCGTTGTTTATTGTTTTTGTTTCAATTTGAAAATTAAGGTCTAGTCGTACAAATTTCTTTGTATTTGATAAAAATATTGAAGCTTCTGACTTATACAGATTATCAATTTCTGATATGCATCATACTTGAGGGCGGATAAGAATGTTTATTGGATACTCCAAAATAAAGGATAATGCTATATGGACGGTTACATGAGTAACCTACTAATAGGTAAATTAAATAATTAAATTAATATGACTCTTCTGGTAGATATTCTGTAATATTTCAACTTATGTGGAAAATAATAATAGAGGGTCATAATTTATAAACTACTGTTATTGTAATATCATACGGAAAAGTGCAATAACACATTAAAAATGTGAAAATAAGTTTAAAGTATTACAGAATATTTACTAAAAAAATAAACAGCAAGAGAAAATAGTAAAAGAAAGGTGTCCATTCCTCAAGCGCCTTTAGTAAAGGAGAAGGTCCATTAAGGGCTTTTTTTGGCCTAAAATTTGATGTACATCTGATGAAAGATTTTTGACATTTTTTAAACACTTAAGTATCTTCTACAGTCCATTCAATTAGTTTATGTAATAGGTTTGAACTGATTTGGTCATTAAAGACGTCCAAATTCAAGGTTAAATATGAGATTCTATCAAATATGCCACAAAACGTCACTTTTCAGATAGTTTTTGTCTAAAATGGAAGTGGCCGCATTCGTGTTCAGTCTCAACCGTCAAATATGTTATGTATTATCATCAAATACAACATATAATAAACTATAAAGATTGAACACAGGTGCGGCCACTTTCGTTTTAGACAAAAAACCGTCTAACATTAGCACAAATACTAAGATTGTGAAGATTTTAGTAATTTTGCATGAATTAATGATGCTAGTACCTGATGCATGTGCAATGTAATGTCAAAAAACGGACCATGCTTATGTTACAAAAGTATTCTTCTTTCCAAAAAATAGCAAAAAGTTTAGATTTTCAACAAATTTTTGAAATGCTATATTTTGGGGCCAAAAAAGGGTCTTACCGGGCCTACTCCTTTAAATAGACTCCGATCATCTTCAATGAATCTTTGATAAATTTACTTGACGTGACCTTCATTATTCGTTATTTTCAATGTCATGTAAACTAGGAAGCTAAATTTTTTATTTTTTGAATTCAATAAAACTACTTAATCTCCTGTTTTATGCACCATTAATGAACTATTTAAATATTCTAAGAATATGGAATATGATTGAAAGATCAGAAGTGAAAACTAAAATTGAAATCCACTGTACTGTTTATGTCACTCAGACAAAATATCAATTGCTGAAAATTTGACAATACAGTAAAGTACTATTCAGACTCGTTTACATCATCACAGCACAAATGACTTTGATAGATTAGAACGACATTGTGCGTTCCAATTACAGTGTTGTGTTTCGAAAATATATCCCCGCAGTTCATAATACTGAAGAGATATCTAATACAGAAATTATACTTACACTGACACTGAAAATGCATCTTTTAATAATCAATTTGTGTTTATTGCATTTCAAAGTCTGGGAAATTCAGAAATCATATATCTAATATTTCTTACAAGAGACGTGTTCATTTAACTGGACGACACTCTTTAGTCTTGACAGTATGAAAAAATACATGAAATTGTTATTGGTTCAATTGTTTTGATTTATTGTTTGATAAAAGGTACAAAATGAGCGTAAAGTTAAGTCCTTTGCTCTAGTAAAATGAATTTTAGTCTTACACGATCATTTTAATCTTACATGATCTGAACAGTCTGCACAATACATTGGTTTACTAGCGCTGACTAAGAAAAAAATCATGGAAATTGTTCAGTTAGTATTCATGATTATTTTGTTGTATGATAATAACTCTCTCGCCAAGTTTTTTGTTGACCACTGAATAAAAATAAAACTAATGTCTTTATTCACAAATAATAAGATAGAATAGTTGTTCAAAAAGTTATTGACAAAGATTAACAAATAGACTTTGTGTAACATCTACGATGTATTTAAGTAATGTCTCAGAATTTATGCCTTGTCAAATACTTGATGGTAAGTTCGTTATTTTAATAAACATTTGTTTTGTCTTATTGTTCCTTGTATTGCCTAATGTATTACTGGCCATATTGAAGATTAAGTTAAAAAAAATATGGGGAATAATTTTCGAATTCCATCAAATTAAAATATTGATAGAAAAACGGAAATTTTTGATGATCCCATAAATAACTGAAATATTAGCATACATTAATGAAACAACAAACAAATGACACATACAAAAAGAACAGATGACATCCAGAGTTCAAAATAAGTAGTTTTAAACTTATTTGTTTAAGTTTAACCGTACGTCATCTTTAAGTCATGGTGAATTTGTTGAAAATATGTCATGCAGTACATATTTTTTTTTACATCTTACTGAAATGGGAAAAAATTATGAACAATATAAAAGGAAATGTAAAACAAAAATCGACAAGGCCGTAGTAAAAATCTGGAAGTATTTCAAGGGCCAATCCAATAAATTCAGAAAACTTAAATGGCTAATCAAATTTATATTGCAATGACCATTCAAATATCTTAGAACGATTGAAGGGCCAACCAAATTTCAAAAACGACAGACGACATCATGGCCAAAAATACAAAAAAGAGAACTCAGAATACAAACATCAATCCTTAAAACATAAGGAACTTAACATTAAAGAACTAAATATAACCTCTGACTCTTCGTAAGGGTAATCAGACCCTGTTTAAATAGTGTTACTGTCGTGTCAATCTTTACCAGAAAAAGTATGTTTACAAATCATGAACGATGAAACGACAACAGAGTTGTGACAAAAAGAAACACAAATTAGCCAATGATCTAATACTGTTTTTTTTGTTGGATTCCAAATGACCTAAAATTGATGTATGATATACATGATATAGGAAATCCAAAACAAAGTTTTAGCTTTTTATAAAGCTTTTGAGTGCTTCGCTGTATTATATTTTAAAGTAAGATGTGGTTTATGGGGTTGTTTAATATGAAAAAAAGAAGATGTGTTATGAATGCCAATGAGACAACTCTCCACAGGAGACCAAATGACACGGAAATCAACAACTATAGGTCACCGTACACCTATGAAGAGGTGTTATTTATCTCCTTTGTGCATATACTCATAAATGTGGTATTAAAAGCCGATCTTAGATGTGACGTATTATGATATACTGTAGTTTGTCCATGAACACTTCCCACAAAAACTCAGTCAAATTTACTTTAACAAATCCAACTCAATTTTACGGAAACATCAGGATTGATAGTAGAAAGCTTCCTTCTGATTTTCAAATTATTTGGTGGCGTCATTCAAGAGGTACCATTTGATTTTGAAAATTTATGATTTTTCATTCCACAGATATGGGACTACGACAGTCAGATTGTAAAAAAGTAAAATAACAAAAATACTGAACACCAAGGAAAATAAAAACGGAAAATCCTTTATCAAACGGCAAAATCACAAGCTCAAACACATCAAATGAATAGCAAACAACTGTCATATTCCTGGTTTGGTATTATTCTACATGCCATGCACGAGATATAGAATGC